GTTAGCGCGATGATTTGGTCTTGGATGTAGTAAGCGACGCACGAAGAACGGGCCCCAGGGCTTTATGTATCCTCGTGCGCGCGCTTAACTTGGGGTCAAAGCAACTCCGCGTTGACTGAACTACTTGTTATCAGCCTTTCTGAAACCGAATATTCCGAGTTGGACAGTTCGGGGTTACTCAACCCTGAGTATCGTTTTTCACTCTGAGTTTTCTAAACCGGCTTCCTGAAAAAGGGCCCTGCTCTGGTGTGGCCCTCACTGGCTTCCAATCAGTGCAGCCAATCGCTGATCAATAACCAAACACATCATAACACAAATCAAGAGTCTCAAATACTGATCAGTATCTCTGCAGTCATTTCAGCTTTTAGCTGTGACCTTTGAACTGACAGCCTTTAAAGCCCTTAAACCTTTGTTACCGAGTCTGTTCCACTCAGCAGGGACACACCTGAGTCCCTCGCACTGTTGGCTACCTGCCGTTAGCACACGTTCATCCCGGGATGTCGCTTCCTTCGGTCTGTAGTTTGAACGATTTACCTGTCCCAGCACGTCCACACGCGGAGTCTCCCTGCCATTCAGAACCCCATTGAAATAAACGCTACATTTAAGTTTCTCTGAACAACCGAAAACGTTTACAAGAGCGAGCTAGCAGCAGGAAAATGAGCTAAAAAATAAACAACTGATGTTTATTGTTAATTGTTTTAACGCCGAATCGGTACAGAGATCTGACGTCATCGGAAAGCACTCAGACTATGCTTAAAATTTGGTCCTATTTTCACCGATTAACGGACACGATGTAAACAGCATATTTCTGAATAGAGTCTGGTTTGACCCGAACGCACGGGGAACAGTATCTTCGCAGCAGTACCTTTCACGTCCTGGGCCAGAGCCTTCCATGTGCTGGAGTACTGGATGCAGTGTCCACACCAGGACGAGAAGAACTGGATGAGCCAGGCCGAGGACGAGTTAGTGACGGCGGACTTCAGGCTGTCGCTGCTCAGGATCACCAGCGGGTCCTCCTCCGTGTAGAGCCGGCCTGCGCCTCCCAGGGAGCCGGGCACCAGGCAGAAGACCGTCGCCGCCGCTCCCAGCCAGAGCATCGCCGCCATCCGAGAACCAATACACCGCGAACAGGGAGTCAGAGAACCGCAGAGTCCGAGCCGGAAACCAGCCTCAACAGCCGGGGAGACATGAGAGAAGAGGCCCGCTGAACGTACGAAGCTCGGAGAGCAGCCGACAGAGGCCTCACTCCGAGCCTATACCGGGACACCGGCGCACGCGCAGTCTATGTGGGTCTCCGTTTGAGTGGGACAGTGTCCGTGACGCTGTGACGTAGTGGCTCGTGTTGCTTTAATAGACTATCTCCGACGAGCGTGCGCTGCGAGCCGGTCTGACGCGTTATCCCTCTGCTGCGTTCAAGAGTGCTCGGAAAAGTTAGACTTCATTGATGAGAGCCGTGCACTAATACTCAAGTACGCATGTTCGTACTCGCGTGCTTGTCCGTTCCAGTCGGTACTTCGTTCACACGGGAGTGCGGACCTCCTCTACAGCTGGAACTGCATTTAATTTAACCGTGATTAATATTTGCAATGAAAATGACACGTGATAGAATAATTACATGAACTAAACCATTTCTTTAAGAAAAAAAATGTAATTTCAATTTAAGCACAAATTCCCTTTTGCACTGCCAGTCAAGGTTTGGACACACCTTCTCATTTCAACTTTTGCTACTTTGTACATTATAGATACAAACTGAAGACATCAAATATATTTAGATATATGGCACTATGCAGCAAAGAAAAAATGAGAGAGAACTCTAAATATGTTTTATGTTTTAGATTCCACCCTTTGCTTTGTTGACAGCGCTGCAAACCCTCGTTCTTCTTTTAGTGAGTTTCATGATGTAGTCACCTGACATGGTTTCACCTCACAGGTGTGCCTTTCACACGGGTTCAATGGTGAAATTTCTTCCCTTCTTAATGGGGTTGGGACCATCAGCTGTGTTGTCAGAGGTCAGGTTGGTACACATCTGACAGCCCTATTAATAAAACTTGAGTTGGTCCTGCGGGGCAGCAGGTGATGGAGGCGGAGACATTCATGAGGCTCCCACAGGTTGATGACAGATATCAGACTGTAAGAGAAAGCAGCGCTTTATTTATAATACAGGAAAAAACAAAGGCATCTATTCTTCTTGTTCCAAGCTTCAGCTCGCTGTTTCACTACTGCTTTAATCTGGTTTCTGTTGGAGTTTCCAATTCCCTACAGCCTGTGAAAGCAGCGTGGCTCTCTGCCGCCCCCTGCAGGCCGAGCAGCAGAACAACCGGAGGTCCTGAAGGTGTACTTGGTTGGATTGGCAGGCAAAGATCAGCTCTGCTGAATGTTAAAATGAGCGTGCGTACTGTCACAGCTGTTCAGAGGTGTGCCGATGGAAGTTGAGCCATGGCGCTCACCAACACGTTAGTGATGACGCCGCTTCAGACTCGCAGGCAAACCAAGCTCCGCCCTCCGCTTTTTCACCACTGCTGGTCTGCAGGGTGAAATATTCATGTTTGTAGTTTTGATCATTTCTGATCTGTGACCCCTCACTGAAACAAGCTTCATCAGTATCTGACCAGTGGGGCACTGGGGGAGCCTGGGCTGCAGACTGGAGGACCCGGCCTTTGAACCCTCAAACTCTGAAACAATCAAAACAAACGAAAGTACTACAAATACTGCTATAAATATTACTACCAGTACTACAAAATAACCGGGGGACAGTTTGTGGTCAGTGTCATGATAGGTATGAATAGTTACTGATTCAGATGTAGTTCATGTGGAAGCCCGGTACTCAGATACTCAGATACTATGACGTACAGCTTCCAGTAACACAATCCGTCGATGCTTCCAAAAGTGGCTTCGGTGCTGTCTTACTACAAGATGACCATCCAGCTGCTTACCCATCCACTCACTGACGAACTGAGCAGCGTTACGCACAAAGAGAGAAAGAGATGCTAGCAGTGCAGAACGTTTCCATCAGTACGAATATGGAAGACAAGTGAACGTGGAGACAGATCAGAAACTACTATGTACAGTCTCATTAGGAATACAGAAACTGCAAAAATGTCAGGTACAGGTTCAGTACAAGCCAGGAAATGAAATGTACATCACATGGAGGGGGGGGGCTTTAGCTCAGGAGGGAGGGGCAGGTCACCTACTGATCACAAGGTTAGTGGTTCAGTCTGCATGTCAAGTATCCTTGGGCGGATACTAACCCCAAGTTGCTCTGTGTCTGAATGGAGTTAGGAATCACTAAGTATAGAAAGAAAGTGCTATATAAGAATCAGTCCATTTACCATTTACATCACAGACATGTTATCCAGAGATAATCTACCAGTGACCAGCTCACCTGATGATGACATAGAAGCTCAGGTGAACACGATGATCTTACCTGTGTGAAGTGCAAAACTAGAAGAATTCAGAAAGGAAACTAGGAGTGATGTGATTGTGACTAAACGTACAGAGACAGTTCTGGATCGAACAACAAGCTGCAAAATACATTCAGTCATACTGGAACTACAGGGAACAGATTTCAGTAGTGGGTGGAGTTCTGTTCAAAGGACAGCAGCTCATCGTTCCTGCGGCGCTGAGAGCAGAAAGCTAAAGCACACTCACGACGGTCACTTGTTTATTAAGCGCTGCAGACGCAGAGCGAGAGAAGTTCTGTTTTGGCCTGGAAATCACAGAGTATCACTGAGATGTGAACAGCTGTGATGTGTGCAGCACTCAGCAGAAACAACAGACCAAAGATCCACGACATCCACACAGAAACACCCTGGCAGGAGATACGTGTGGACCTTTGACCTCCTCTGAGTGGATTACTATTCCAATTTCACTGAGGTTGAGTGGCTGAAGTCAGACACAGGAAGTGCAACAGTCATCACTTATGACTTGGAATCCCTGAAACAGTGATTTCAGATAACGGACCGGAGTTCAGCTCCCTGGAAGACTTTGCAAAAAAGTGGGAGTGTCTCACAACACAACAAGCCCCCACCACGCACAGTCAGACGGGGTGGAGGAGAGACGAGCACAAACAGTGAGACTCTTGTTAAAAAGGCAAACGCTGAGGGAACAGATCCTTATCTGTCCTCACTCTGGTCTCTGTTGGAGGACGTTGGAGCGTCATCGGCCCGGCTGTTAATGGCTCGACACATGAGGTCAAGACTTCCAACAACATCACAAAGGCTGAAACGCTCACTAACACACTGCAGCACTTATTAGAAACAAGGCAACAGAAACTGAGAGAATACTTTCATCGAAGAACGAGAGAAGTTCAGCAACTTCAGATCGGCCTCAAGGTCAGACTGTGGCCACAGAGCGTGTGGAGTCCAGCCCAGGTGTGACGGCTTCACGCACAGCCACACAGCGGTAATATCGCCACGTTGTGTAGAGGCTGATACATAACACTGCCTTCTAAAATAAGTGCGCACATTTCAGTTTACACTGTTATGCATGATTTAATCTTACCTTAGTAAATTACCTTAGTTGCAGCTGCTCCAGTCGCTTGACTGAAGAGCCAAGAGGTGGAAAAGGGGCGGAGCAAGCCTTGAGGGAAAGCTGCAAAATGGCTCATTCCATAACTCGGGACCATGGGGGGAATTGGAGTCCATTATGTTAGTTTTAGTTAGGTTTGGTGTGTTTTAGCCCTTTTTGTGGGCTGGTCAGCCTCTCTTTCAGTTTCCCTTTGGCTCGTTATTAAGTGAGGTCCGTTTGTTAACTTTTGACCTGTTTTATGGGCCCAAGACTTTGATCCTTTCTGCATGATTTAAACAATTATGTTTGCGGGTTAAATTAAAAACAAATCATTTTTTGCATTGTAAGCTGTGCCTAAGTTTGCTTCGCTGCTCGGTCCGTCACACCAGATAACGGGTCTCTCTGAACATCCAAGATCCTGTGTGGTTCAGATGCCTGATGGGCAGCAGGGACACTTTCTAAAGCAGTCAGGGCAAAGAGGAACACGTCACAACACGGCGCGCGTGTGTTAGAGCAGGAAACGCTGAGATGTCAGTCGTACAGCGCGTGGACGTCTCCCTGAGCAGTGAAATGACGTCATGTTTGCAGCAGTCGGTTGAGGTTTGAAAAAAGGAAACGTGTTCATGCCGAGCAGCTGTTTTCTCTGCTCACGGACACTGGGCTGTGACGTGGGTTCATTCGGTGGTCACAGAGTCAGATGCAGTTCATGTGGGAGCCACAGGAGGGCGTGGTAACGCATAGAAATGAAGTGTAGCAAACCCTGAGGACACGGTGTCACGTCTGCTCGGTAAAGTCATTCACGGGTGTTTAACGGATCAATTATTGGCTCACGGTGACGTGACGTTATTGATCAGATAGGAGGCACGCCCACAGCGCCTACGTCCCTTCACCTCGTGTTTTTTCACCCTTTAGGGAGCTTCCGTACTGCGCATGCTCTGTGTGACACAGTTAGCGTCCCGTTACCATAGGAACGTGTCAGCTAAACTCCGCAGGACACGGAGCAAAACTCAGGTGGGTGAGACTCACACACACACACACACACACACAGACAGACTCACACACACACACAGACAGACTCACACACACACACACACAGACAGACAGACTCACACACACACAGACACACACACACACACACACACACACACACACACACACACACACACACACACACACACACACACACACACACAC